GCCCACGCACCAGAGGGACTCTCCCAGGTCTTGTCGTGGGCAGGGCCCCTGGCAGGTGCTTGCCCGAGTGAGCAAGCTCAGATCTGCTGCCCACAGGAGGGAGGATTCTCACAGCAGGGATAGGTTTGCTTTAACGTCATTTAAAGAAAACAGTTGCAACATTCTTTGCCACTGGCATTTGTGACTGCAAGTCGTCGTCGTCTCACATGTGCACACACAGTCACAGGTCGATCCCAGACACCACAGAAGTACTCCCCAAACACCACCCACCAGCTAGCGTGCCAGGACCGGGGCACACGGAGCAGGAGTCCACCCCAGAGCCAAGGCCTGGAGGTACGCACCAGACCCCAAACACCAGCTGGTGCTCCAGGTGCCATGCCCAGAGGCCTTCCTCAGAGGCACCGTGTGCACCCATGCCAGGGACAGGCAAAGTAACTGGTGCGTTGGGGCCCTGGATGTTGGAAGTGTTGAGTAGCATAGGGATGGCATGGGGAGCACCCTGGGAGCCATGTACAACCAGTGACTCTCAAACGATATTGTGCAAATTAAGAAATACATAAAATAATGTGTTTCCACTTTTGTAAGGTTAAGAAGAAATTCTTGTGCTGGGGCTGTAGCTCATGGTAGAGTGCCTGCATAGCAAGCACAGGCCCTGGCTTCACTCCTCTCATGAGAAACAAAAAAGTAGGTTCTTGTTTAGTTATCCCTACATAAGTTATCCCTTATGTTATCCATAAGTTATTTAGTTGTCCCTACATAAACTAAAAAGGAAACCTTGGAAATGCTTGTTGCGAAAGTTAGTTGTAAAGAAAATATCAATAGTGACCATCTTGGGGGAAGGGGACAAAGGTATGATTACAAGGACTTAGACGTGGAAGTGACATTTCCCTTTCTTAACCTGTGGGGTACAAATACAGGCATTGACTCTGAAATCATCTGATAAACAGAATGTGTATCTTCTGCCCCATTTTCTGTGTACTGGCTACGTCTTGGGACAATAGGAGGATAAGAGCCAGGACGGAACACTGATGGTTTCAACTGAACAGTGTTGTCATCGGTGGAGACAAAGGTTCAGTCAAGCTGGCTCTGGGCAGTGTGTGCCCTCACCCAGGGAGTTCCAGGTGGCCACAGCAGGCCCAGGTGTGGCTCCTGCAGTTTCCTGGGAGGCTGCTCCTGTGTCTGCAGCCCGGACTACAGTGGGAGGAGGGCTTCCCTAGAGTTCCAGCCCATACTGTGTCTGCTGCTTTCCTGGATGGGTCCGGGCACACTCACCCTCACCCCTCATGCTGTGATGCTGTCACACAGGTCTGGCGTACTTAGGTGGGGGCTCAGTAGGGCCCCAGGTTCCCCACACCACAGTCGTGACTCTGCTAGATTGCTGCCGGTGCTCTGTGAGGTAATGGAGACTCCCTTGTCCTCCCCGAAGCCTTTCCTGTGGCTCCAGCCCACAATGGTTCCTGGACTTGTCTCCTGCTTCTGGCACTGGGTCCCTGGTGGACCTTATTTCCTGTCCTGTTCCCTCATCATCTTATCTTCCCTGTCTCACCCATGGCCTTTGTCTCAGCAGAGAAAGCCTGCTTTCTCCCCTCTCCCTTGGAGCCTGGGCAGTGCCCATGAAGGGCTGCAGGCCACAAACTCTTATCTGAGTTCCCTACTGCATCCTACACATGTTCGTGGATCAGTCCTGGGGCAGCTGGAGACAAAGGGCATCTAGAATGTATCCTGTGATAGAGTGGCCTCTCAGAGGCCCAGTCCCCGCCCAGTCTGCAGGCCAGAGGAACCAAGGCCTGGCATGCCAGAGGAGAAAGGAGACCTGGTGTGGCGGGGTAGGAGTCAGGGTATCAGTACCAGCACAGGACCCGGCAGGTGGGCCCTGGTCACCCATTGCCTAGAGACATGGATGGGATGTCCTGTACCTGATTGGAGGCTCAAGGAACAGGGTTCCGGGCAGCAAGAAGGCCCTACAGGGCCTGATCTCAGGGGAAAGGGATGTTGAGGGGCCATCTTGGTCATGAAGACCCATTCAGCCAGGGGCAAGAGGGGGCTGCTGGCAACCTGGGCTGCGTGTTGGGTCACAGCAAAACTGAGAGTTGTGCCCTGTGGCCTGTGTGGGTGGCCATTCACAAGCCCATGCTTAGTCCAGAGCTTTTTCTGGAAGCCAGAGTGGTCTGGACAGGATGGAGTCCAGGCTGTAGGCTCTGCTCCAGATGAGACTCAGTCCTGGAAACCCCATTCCCCAGACAGTCCACCTGCAAGGAGCACCCCTCTGTGTAGCAAACCTCGTGTATGTGTGGGGCAACCCAGGGCTCACACACAGGGCATTGCTGTCACATGGGCATCACTCCAGGCCCACTGTGCCCCTCCCCTTGAGCCCCCTCCCATTTCCTTCTTGCAGGGAGAGCGGATCATCACTTCTCTGCAGCTCATTATGAGGACGGGAGGATAGTGTGAGGCCCTGCCCCAAGGCCTGGCACAAGTCAAGAGCCCACTGATTGTCACCTTCCCTTGCTGCTCCCCCTGTTCTCTCCATGACATCACCTGTAACAGGGACGTCAGACCTGCGAACCACCTGCATGCTTGTGAGAAGTGACTAGTGAAGGACAGGTCCTTGGAAGCTGCTGGATTATGGTGCCAAAGACTTGGTAGCATCAGCACTAAGTTGTGACAGGCAGGGTAGGTGCCAGTGAGCTGCGGATCTGTTGATGGGTGAGATCTGGGACCCTGGCTCATTGTTGAGGGAGCTATGGCAGTGACTGGGCTCCATAACAGAAGAGCAGAGCTGGGGAGCCAAAAGAGGTTCCCTGGCTGCTTGGGGCTGTCTCTGCCACCCCTCCCCTGGTGCTATCGGGTGCTACATACTGTACCCCCCAGGCTTCCTCAACTCATGGTCCCTGCCTGGCCAGGGCCTGCTTATCAAGCCAAGCCTGGGCCTGCTTGCCCACAAACTGGAGCCTGTCCCTTTAAGACAGACACCTGAGCCTGGAACAAACTTGTAACCAGTCTCTGGAATCCCAGGGAGGTGGCAGTTTGTTTTTCATTGCTGGGTGAAGGGGGTGGGGAAGCCGGTTGGTACTGGGCTGGGGAACAACCATGCTCTGGTCTGAGAAACCACTTCCTCATGGGCCTGGGATTCCAAGAGGTCTAGAACTGGGGATAGGAATATGCTGGATGCCTACTTCCAATACTCATCCCAATAAAAGCCACCACTTATTAAGTACCAACTGTTTGCCAGGTACTGTAAGTGACCACCTCTTCCAAGCTGCATTTAAGACCCAAGGACAGATGGCCTGGCCCCGCCAGCAATATGTAATTATAAGTACAAAGTATGCAGAACTGTAAAACACAAAGCATTCCAAGAAAATCCAGGCTTTTCCTGTGTTGGCTGCATTAGAGAGGTTTATTTGATTCTTTCAAATAAAGAATCTTTTACTGGATTCTTTCAAAAAGTTGTGGGGTCCCTATTTTGCAGGTATCAGTAGCACACATCCAGTATACCTAGGGGTGACTTGGTCTAGAGCCATCCATGTCAGGACAATCTTTTTCTAAGGACTGTCACCTTTTTTTTTGTTCCAGATGAGGACACTGAGGTTGTGGGAGGCTGAGGGACTTGTCACGGGGTCAGTAAGGTGGCAGCTGGTACGACAAGCTCTCCTTCCTGCCAGTTATCATCTTTTGGCACAGATGTGACTTAGACTGCCAAGGCACAAAAGATAAGATCTCCATTGACTAGTTACCATTGAGCAAATCAGTTCTGTCCTCTTTCCTCCTCTGTAAGGAGGAACTCAAGATCCTCTTTTTTCAGCCTCCCGAGAGATGGGATTACCAGCATGAGCCCCTACTCCTGCTACATCACTTGGTTTTTAGCTAGATTTTTTTTTTTTTGTCCCAGGAATCGAACTCAGGACCTTGCTCTAACCAGGCAGGCACTTACGCCTCTGATCTGTATCTCCGGCTCACTTGGTTTTTAGGAAGCGTTGTATAGCTGGGGCACGGTGTAGCTCAGTGGTAAAGCACCTGCCTAGCATGCCCAAGCCCTGAGGTGGGACTCCAGCACTGCCACACAACTAAGTAACAATAAAATGAAAGTACTGTGTGGGAATAGTGGCTGCCCCAACTTCATAAGAAGAAACATTACTAATTCTCGTTTTTGCTGTCTCTGAATTAAACACCTTGGCTCAGTAACGTTGCTTCATCTGCTGCTTGTACAGCGCCAGGCCTCTTCTAAGCCCTTTGCCTGAGTCAGGTTCTCACAAAACCCATTTTTCAGAAGAGGAAACCGTGTCAGTGAGAGGTTAAGTAACTTCTCCGAGATCACACAGCCAGGAAACAGTGAAGATAAGAGCTGAACCACAGATGCTGGTGATAGTCCACACTACACAAACATACCAGTAAACTGCTCCTATGGTGGCACTTGTTGCTGGGGGCCCTTGCTGTCCTTTCCCTCCGTGGACTACAGGGAGGCATCCCAGCCGCAGGGATCCTCAGGCCGCTTCACCACCAGCTCGCTCCGCCTCGCTGGCCCTGGGGGCGGGGCGGACAAGGGCGCAGGCGGACTGCGGGGCGGCGGGCGGGGCCGCGGAGCCCGTAAAAGCAGCGCGGGCCAAAGCTCTGCACCGACAGCGGCAATCATGGCGCGTCCTCATCTCTCGCTGGCGATGGGCCTGGCCCTGCTCGCGATCTGCCTCCTGGCGCTGGTCCCCGACGGCCGCGCCGAGCCGCGGGACCACAGGACCGGAGAACGCAAGAACCTGGCCACCAACGACCCGCAGGTGCAGAAGATGGCGCAGACGGCCGTGACCACCTTCAACCAGGGCAGCAACAGCGTCTACTACTACCGCGACACCAACATCATCAAGGCGGAGAGACAGGTGCGGCGCGCTGGAGAGCTGGGGCCGGGCAGCCGGATGGGGCTCCAGAGCCCAGAGAGGTTCTGCCCGGAGCCAAGGGAGGGGGGCGCCAAAAGAGTACCCCATATTTTTACACAGTGCCCTTTTGTATGGAGGGGTATTATTGGAATTCAAGCTCAGGTCTTGCACGCGCTCGGCAAGTGCTCTGTCACTGAGCTCCACGCTCAGTCGGCTGTGTAGCGCTTCCCCAAAGCCATGTGAATATAGCCAGTTGTCTTGGTGAGGCTTGTAATCTCAGCGCTGGGGAGGCTGAGGCAGAAGGATCCTGAGTTCAAGGCCAGCGAAGAGGGAAAGCCTGTCTCAAAATGCCAAAAACAAAAGACAACAAACCCCAAGTGAATACCAAAAGTATGAAAAGCCAAATTCCTAAATTTCAAAAAAAGAGAGGATCTAACCCTGTCCATACAGCTTGCCTCCTCACCTTGCCTGGTGTCTGATGGATTCCAGGGAGGGAGAGGGAGAGGGCCCAGTGACATCTTCCTTGTGTGTGTCCAGACTTTAGTGTGCTGATCTCAGGTGGGTCTCAGCGTGCTGCAGGAACCAGGCCTCTGCCCCACATCCCTGGGTCAGGACCCTGTATGTGCCCAGGCCAGTGGGAGAGGCTAGAGGGAGGAGAGGGTTCCACACCCCTCACTTGGCTGCCATTGTCCCCAGCTGGTGGCTGGCATCAAGTACTACCTGACCGTGGACTTGGAGAGCACAGCATGCAGGAAGACCAGGGTCTCTGGAGCCCGCGTGGACCTCACCACCTGCCCCCTGGCCACAGGGGTGGAGCAGGAGGTAAGAGTGATGCCCCATGCCCAGGCCCTGTGTAGAGCCTGAGGCCCTCACGTTGGCCACCCTGAGCTGGTCTGGCCACCAGGGACCCGCAGGTGCAGATGCGCCTGGCTAAACCTGCCCAGCCTTGGTGACTCAACATCCAGGCCAGTGTGGGGTGCA